TCTAGTATTTTAGACATAAATGTAAGATTTGAACTGGGTCTGTAATTTGCTAAGTTATTTTGATCTAATTGCGGTTTCTTAATAAGAGGTTTTATAACTGCCAGCTTGAATATTCTTGGAACATGACCTAAAGATAAAGACGAGTTAATAATATTGAGAAGAGGCTCTTCCACTACAGGTAACACTTCTTTCAGAAGTTTAGTGGGTATTGGATCTAATAAACATGTTGTTGGTTTAGATGCAATGATAAGTTTATTTAGCTCCTCCTGTCCTATAGTTGTAAAGCGGTGTAGTTGTTCTTGAGGGACGATAATTGAGGCTGAATCATAAGACACCATAGAGGATTGTACATTTACAATTGTATTTCGGATGCTTTCTATTTTCTCATTGAAGTAATTCATAAAATCATTACAACTATACTGTAACGGAATAATTTGCTCGGGTGATGTCTGTTTATTTGTTAGTCTAGCCACGGTGTTAAATAAAAACCTTGGATTATTTTGGTTATTTTCTATTAGTTTGCGGAGATGCTCAGCCCTGGCTGCTTTTAGAGCCTTTTTATAACGTGACACACTGTCTTTCCACGCGATTCTAAAGACCTCTAAATTAGTTTGTTTCCATTTACGCTCTAAGTTACGAGTTTCTCTCTTGATAGCATGTGTAGTACTATTGTACCATGGTGCTTTAGTTTTCTCTCTAACCTTTTTCAATCTAATTGGTGCAACAATATCTAATGTACTAGAGAAAATGGTGCTCAAACTGCTGGTCATTTCCTCTAGTTCATCTGTTTGTTTGGGTTCACTGAGCAGCTGAGATAGATCAGGTAAGCTATTTGAGAATCTATCTATAGTGGTCGGAAGGATTGTTCTGCCTGGTCGATAACGCGGCGCAACATGACAAATTTCAGCAGTACGTATTATACAAGTTACCATGTGATGATCAGTGAGATCGTCACTTTGCGGTATAATATCTATATCGGTTGGATTGGTTCCGTATGATATAATTAAATCTAGTGTATGATTTAGACGATGAGTGGGACCACTGACGTTTTGCTTGACCCCAAAGGAGTTTAATAAATCTGTAAACGCAGCCCCTAACGCATCATTTGTGTTATCTACGTGTATGTTAAAATCTCCAACAATTATTGCTTTATCAGCATTGACCAATAGATCTGAGAGAAAGTCTGCAAACTCTTTTAGGAAATCAGTGTAGGGCCCTGGAGGTCTATATACAGTAGCCAAGGCTAGAGATAATAGGGATTTCTTTCTTACATCTAAGAGCGTAACATTTAGCACAAGTACTTCAAACGAATTAAACCTGTGACCTGTTTTCTGAGTAACATTAATAATATCTCTATAGATTGTTGCAACACCGCCGCCACGACCGATCAGACGGGGCTCATGCTTATAACAGTATCCTGGCGGAGTAGACTCATTAAGACCGAAATACTCATTTGGTTTAAGCCAGGTTTCAGTAAGGCAAAGTACATCGAAGCTATTATCTGTGACCATTTCATTTACAATAACCGCCTTAGGTGTGAGCGATCTAATGTTTAGAAGACCTAGTTTTAGAAATTGTTTTTGTTCACTGATATTTAGATTTTCTGGTTTAATTACAATAAGATTTTTCCTAGATCCTACACTAGATTTATTGTTTGGCCTCACTAGACGAGGAATAGACACAGTTTCTATATAATGTTCTACACTACTTATATCAATTAAGTTGGGACAGCAAAGACTGTGAATTGGACTTTGACTTACTAGTCAGATGGTGTGCAACGTCTTGGAGATGTTGTCCGACAGAACAGCCGCTCCGATTCTGCTGGGGTGCAGGCCATCAGCACGGTAGAGCCTAGGTCGCTCCCAGAACAGATTCCAATTATTTACAAAGAGCAGTTTCTGTTCATTACACCATGACATTAACCATTCATTTAGAGCAAATAGTCTACTGAACCTTTCTTGTCCTAGTCGGTACGTGGGAAGCGGTCCAGACACGATGATCGTTGCCTCAGGCGCTGTGCTGCGTACCGTCTCGATCAGGCTCCTGTAGTCCTTCTTCAGAACCTCCGTCTGCCGCAGCCTGATGTCGTTCGTTCCCGCATGGAGGACAACGGCTCCGACGCGCTCGTCACCGTTCAGGATCTCGGGAACCTGTGCGGCGACATCAAGAACACGAGCACCAGGAAAGCAGTGAGTGCGCACCTTACCCTTACCTGAGGTAGCGCGGACATGACAAACCATGGAAGTGCCGATGATCACGGCGTCGTCGCGTTCCGACTCGCGAAGAGAAAGGGATAGTAAAATAAATACAACACCTGGTTGCCACGAATACACTGATGCACCTTGAGATCTCCGTGGCTCTCGCACTTGTTGTATTAATGCCTTTTACATGAAAACGGAGGTGACTGGAGCTTCTCACTGGAGCTTCTCACTGGTGCTTCTCACTGGAGCTTCTCACTGGAGCTTCTCACTGGTGCTTCTCACTGGACCTTTTTACTGGTGCTTCTCAATGGAGCTTTTACTGGTGCTTCCCACTGGTGCTTCTCACTGGTGCTTCTCACTGGTGCTTCTCACTGGAGCTTTTACTGGTGCTTCTCACTGGAGCTTTTCACTGGAGCTTCTCACTGGAACTTCTCACTGGTGCTTCTCACTGGAGACTCTCACTGGTGCTTCTCACTGGAGCTTCTCACTGGTGACTCTCACTGGTGACTCTTACTGGTGCTTCTCACTGGAGCTTCTCACTGGTGACTCTCACTGGTGACTCTCACTGGAGCTTCTCACTGGTGCTTCTCACTGGTTCTTCTCACTGGAGACTCTCACTGGTGCTTCTCACTGGTGCTTCTCACTGGTTCTTCTCACTGGTGACTCTTACTGGTGCTTCTCACTGGAGCTTCTCACTGGTGACTCTCACTGGTGACTCTCACTGGAGCTTCTCACTGGTGCTTCTCACTGGAGCTTCTCACTGGAGCTTCTCACTGGTGCTTCTCACTGGAGCTTCTCACTGGAGCTTCTCACTGGTGCTTCTCACTGGTGCTTCTCACTGGTGCTTCTCACTGGAGCTTCTCACTGGTGCTTCTCACTGGAGCTTCTCACTGGTGACTCTCACTGGAGCTTCTCACTGGTGCTTCTCACTGGAGCTTCTCACTGGAGCATCTCACTGGAGCTTCTCACTGGTTCTTTTTTACTGGTGCTTCTCACTGGAGCTTCTCACTGGTGACTCTCACTGGAGCTTCTCACTGTAGCTTCTCACTGGTTCTTTTTTACTGGTGCTTCTCACTGGAGCTTCTCACTGGTGACTCTCACTGGAGCTTCTCACTGTAGCTTCTCACTGGTTCTTTTTTACTGGTGCTTCTCACTGGAGCTTCTCACTGGTGACTCTCACTGGAGCTTCTCACTGTAGCTTCTCACTGGTTCTTTTTTACTGGTGCTTCTCACTGGAGCTTCTCACTGGTTCTTTTTTACTGGTGCTTCTCACTGGAGCTTCTCACTGTAGCTTCTCACTGGTGCTTCTCACTGGTGCTTCTCACTGGAGCTTCTCACTGGTGCTTCTCACTGGTGCTTCTCACTGGTGCTTCTCACTGGTGCTTCTCACTGGAGCTTCTCACTGGAGCTTCTCACTGGTGCTTCTCACTGGAGCTTCTCACTGGAGCTTCTCACTAGAGCTTCTCACTGGAGCTTCTCACTGGAGCTTCTCACTGGAGCTTCTCACTGGAGCTTCTCACTGGAGCTTCTCACTGGTGCTTCTCACTGGAGCTTCTCACTGGAGCTTCTCACTGGAGCTTCTCACTGGAGCTTCTCACTGGAGCTTCTCACCGGTGCTTCTCATGGTCCTCTGACGGCTGATCTCTTTGGTTCGGGCATGTTTAGCAGAACTAATGAATTACTCTGTGCCTAACTTAGCATGATGTTGTCACCCGGACCTGATTGAAAGCATGTTTCCATGTTCCACGATGTGATGTCTTATTACACACACACACACACACACACACACATGCGTAACAATAGTGCGTTACTCCCTAAAAATAACTAATTGCATCAGTTACATTTTGATGGAATGCGTTACGTTGCTTTTGCATTGCAGCATAGACACTGGTTAATTAAGGGAGATCAATGTAATATATTAGTGTAATTTAACAGCTATTTAATATTTCAGGTTTGCATTTGACTTTTGACAATTACGTTTAACTGTTATTATATGACCAGTGAAAGTACATGACAAACACACTAACCTGAAAACTAACTCAGATATTTTGTTGTAAGTTTAAAAGTAATGCATTACTTTAGTTAATAATTAATGAGTTATCCTCGACTCTGATCAATAATCATATTCACTTCGGCAACTCCCCTATGTCCGTGTTCTGATTCTCACAGCAAACACAACACATTAGGATATAAACACACAACACTGTGGAACATTAATATTATAAATGTATAAAATATTTAGTTTCTATTACATGACATCATTGCATTTTTTCTATCTACTCACTATTACACACACTGCTTTTCTTATTTTTATTTAATTAAATCAAGTTTTATTTATTTAATTTAATCAAAGTTATTTGCTTAAACCACATTTTTTATTTAATATTTTTATTTATTTAAATCACAATTTATTTTAATATCATTGTATGTATTTATTTATTTTATTTATTTTAATCTAATGTATTATTATATATTTATTTATTTTAATCAAATGATTTTATCTAGTTAATTAATAATTATTTAATTCATCCTAATCAAATGTATTATTTATTTAGTATGTATTATTTAAAATAAATTTTATTTATTTATTTTAATCAGTTTATTTTAATCTAATGTATTATTTATTCGTTTAAAAGGAAGTTATTGATTTTAATTTTAATTAAAATGTTCTTTATTTTAGTCAAATGTATTTAGTTCATTTGATCTTATTATTTATTCATTAAAAAAACACAACCCCCCCCAAAAAAAACACACAAAAAAAAACACTTGTTTTCAGTCTGACGGCTTCCGGTCTGTGCGCGTGTCGCTGGTGGATGACGTCATCGCGGCGACGTGTCAGTCATGGCTGCCGATATAACATTATTATTCAAAGCGAGCGTGAAAACAGTGAAAACGCGCAATAAAGCGCTTGGATTGATCGAGTCGAACAACAGAGACGAAACCAGCGCGAAGAGACCGAGACCGAGACCGAAGGAGAGAGACAGCTTCAGCAGTAGAGCTAGAGAAGTGGTGAGACACACACACACACACACACACACACACACACACACACCGAAGGAGAGAGACAGCTTCAGCGGTAGAGCTAGAGAAGTGGTGAGACACACACACACACACACACACACACACCGAAGGAGAGAGACAGCTTCAGCAGTAGAGCTAGAGAAGTGGTGAGACACACACACACACACACACACACACACACACACACACACACACACACACACCGAAGGAGAGAGACAGCTTCAGCAGTAGAGCTAGAGAAGTGGTGAGACACACACACACACACACACACACACACACACACACACAGAAGGAGAGAGACAGAGACAGCTTCAGCGGTAGAGATAGAGAAGTGGTGAGACACACACACACACACACACACACACACCGCGAAGGAGAGAGACAGCTTCAGCAGTAGAGCTAGAGAAGTGGTGAGACACACACACACACACACACACCGAAGGAGAGAGACAGAGACAGCTTCAGCAGTAGAGCTAGAGAAGTGGTGAGACACACACACACACACACACACACACACACACAGAAGGAGAGAGACAGCTTCAGCGGTAGAGCTAGAGAAGTGGTGAGACACACACACACACACACACACACCGAAGGAGAGAGACAGAGACAGCTTCAGCAGTAGAGCTAGAGAAGTGGTAAGAGACACACACACACACACACACACACACACACACCGAAGGAGAGAGACAGCTTCAGCGGTAGAGCTAGAGAAGTGGTGAGACACACACACACACACACACACACACACACACACACACACACACACACACACAGAAGGAGAGAGACAGAGACAGGTTCAGCAGTAGAGCTAGAGAAGTGGTGAGACACACACACACACACACACACACACACACACACACCGAAGGACAGAGACAGCTTCAGCGGTAGAGCTAGAGAAGTGGTGAGACACACACACACACACACACACACACACACACACACCGAAGGAGAGAGACAGAGACAGCTTCAGCAGTAGAGCTAGAGAAGTGGTGAGACACACACACACACACACAGAAGGAGAGAGACAGCTTCAGCGGTAGAGATAGAGAAGTGGTGAGACACACACACACACACACACACACACACACACACCGAAGGAGAGAGACAGAGACAGGTTCAGCAGTAGAGCTAGAGAAGTGGTGAGACACACACACACACACACACACACACACACACACACCGAAGGACAGAGACAGCTTCAGCGGTAGAGCTAGAGAAGTGGTGAGACACACACACACACACACACACACACACACACACACCGAAGGAGAGAGACAGAGACAGCTTCAGCAGTAGAGCTAGAGAAGTGGTGAGACACACACACACACACACAGAAGGAGAGAGACAGAGACAGCTTCAGCGGTAGAGCTAGAGAAGTGGTGAGACACACACACACACACACACACACACACACCGAAGGAGAGAGACAGAGACAGCTTCAGCGGTAGAGCTAGAGAAGTGGTGAGACACACACACACACACACACACACACACACACACACACACACACACACAGAAGGAGAGAGACAGAGACAGCTTCAGCGGTAGAGATAGAGAAGTGGTGAGACACACACACACACACACACACACACACAGAAGGAGAGAGACAGAGACAGCTTCAGCGGTAGAGCTAGAGAAGTGGTGAGACACACACACACACACACACACACACACACACACACACACACACACACAGAAGGAGAGAGACAGAGACAGCTTCAGCGGTAGAGATAGAGAAGTGGTGAGACACACACACACACACACACACACACACAGAAGGAGAGAGACAGAGACAGCTTCAGCGGTAGAGCTAGAGAAGTGGTGAGACACACACACACACACACACACACACACACCGAAGGAGAGAGACAGAGACAGCTTCAGCGGTAGAGCTAGAGAAGTGGTGAGACACACACACACACACACACACACACACACACACACACACACACACACACAGAAGGAGAGAGACAGAGACAGCTTCAGCGGTAGAGATAGAGAAGTGGTGAGACACACACACACACACACCGAAGGAGAGAGACAGAGACAGGTTCAGCAGTAGAGCTAGAGAAGTGGTGAGACACACACACACACACACACACACACACCGAAGGACAGAGACAGCTTCAGCAGTAGAGCTAGAGAAGTGGTGAGACACACACACACACACACACACACACACACACACACACAGAAGGAGAGAGACAGAGACAGCTTCAGCGGTAGAGATAGAGAAGTGGTGAGACACACACACACACACACACACACACACACACACACACCGAAGGAGAGAGACAGCTTCAGCGGTAGAGCTAGAGAAGTGGTGAGACACACACACACACACACACACACACACACACACACACCGAAGGAGAGAGACAGAGACAGCTTCAGCAGTAGAGCTAGAGAAGTGGTGAGACACACACACACACACACAGAAGGAGAGAGACAGAGACAGCTTCAGCGGTAGAGCTAAAGAAGTGGTGAGACACACACACACACACACACACACACACACACACACACACACACACACACACACAGAAGGAGAGAGACAGAGACAGCTTCAGCGGTAGAGATAGAGAAGTGGTGAGACACACACACACACACACACACACACACACACACACACACCGAAGGAGAGAGACAGAGACAGGTTCAGCAGTAGAGCTAGAGAAGTGGTGAGACACACACACACACACACACACACACACACACCGAAGGACAGAGACAGCTTCAGCGGTAGAGCTAGAGAAGTGGTGAGACACACACACACACACACACACACACACACACACACACACAGAAGGAGAGAGACAGAGACAGCTTCAGCGGTAGAGATAGAGAAGTGGTGAGACACACACACACACACACACACACACACACCGAAGGAGAGAGACAGCTTCAGCGGTAGAGCTAGAGAAGTGGTGAGACACACACACACACACACACACACACACACACACACCGAAGGAGAGAGACAGAGACAGCTTCAGCAGTAGAGCTAGAGAAGTGGTGAGACACACACACACACACACAGAAGGAGAGAGACAGAGACAGCTTCAGCGGTAGAGCTAAAGAAGTGGTGAGACACACACACACACACACACACACACACACACACACACACACACACACACACACACACACAGAAGGAGAGAGACAGAGACAGGTTCAGCAGTAGAGCTAGAGAAGTGGTGAGACACACACACACACACACAGAAGGAGAGAGACAGAGACAGGTTCAGCAGTAGAGCTAGAGAAGTGGTGAGACACACACACACACACACACACACACACACACACACACACACCGAAGGACAGAGACAGCTTCAGCGGTAGAGCTAGAGAAGTGGTGAGACACACACACACACACACACACACACACAGAAGGAGAGAGACAGAGACAGCTTCAGCAGTAGAGCTAGAGAAGTGGTGAGACACACACACACACACACACACACACACACACACACACACCGAAGGACAGAGACAGCTTCAGCGGTAGAGCTAGAGAAGTGGTGAGACACACACACACACACACACACACACACCGAAGGAGAGAGACAGAGACAGCTTCAGCAGTAGAGCTAGAGAAGTGGTGAGACACACACACACACACACAGAAGGAGAGAGACAGCTTCAGCGGTAGAGATAGAGAAGTGGTGAGACACACACACACACACACACACACAGACACACACACACACACACACACACAGACACACACACACACACACACACACACACACACACACACACCGAAGGACAGAGACAGCTTCAGCGGTAGAGCTAGAGAAGTGGTGAGACACACACACACACACACACACACACACCGAAGGAGAGAGACAGAGACAGCTTCAGCAGTAGAGCTAGAGAAGTGGTGAGACACACACACACACACACAGAAGGAGAGAGACAGCTTCAGCGGTAGAGCTAAAGAAGTGGTGAGACACACACACACACACACACACACAGACACACACACACACACACACACACACACACACACACAGAAGGAGAGAGACAGAGACAGCTTCAGCGGTAGAGCTAGAGAAGTGGTGAGACACACACACACACACACACACACACACACAGAAGGAGAGAGACAGAGACAGTTTCAGCGGTAGAGCTAAAGAAGTGGTGAGACACACGCACAAACACACACACACACACACATTTACATTTAGTCATTTAGCAGACGCTTTTATCCAAAGCGACTTACAACTGAGGACTAAACCAAGCGAGTCATCGTGAAGAGGCAAAAGCAACGCAAGAAGTGCTCAAAATACAAAGTTCAGCCATAGCTCGGAGTAGCATAAGCCAGGCAAGCGAGGATTTAGAGGAAAGGATTTTTTTTTTTTTTTTTTTTTTTTTTTTTTTTGTTATGTTAAGTGCTCCCGGAAGAGATGAGTTTTCAGTTGTCTTTTGAATGTTGTCAGGGATTCTGCATTCCGGATGAGGGTGGGGAGATCATTCCACCAGCATGGAACCGTGAATGAGAATGATCTGGAGAGTGATTTTGTGCCCCGCTGTGATGGCACCACGAGCCGTCGCTCATTGACCGATCGTAGGCTTCTGGTAGGGATGTAGACTTGTAGTAGTGAGTAGTGATCGACCGATATATCGGCCAGCCGATATATCGGGCCGATATTTGCGGTTTTTACGTGTATCGGAATCGGCCGATACGCGGCTGCTGCGTTCGCCAATAGTTTTTTCCCGGCATTATTTATAGACAGGCGTCCACAGGCAGCTCTGTGCTGCTGGAGACGCTGCAGTTCACGTGCAGACCCTGCACTGCCCCTCCCCCACTAGCAGAGTGCAACCTGCGCTTCAAGATAACGGTAACTTTTAAACTTTCAAAGCATCTTTTAACTGTTTGACTGCTGAAATATTGTCAAACACTTTGAAAATGGAAACACGTTGCTCTATAACTGTTATGTGGTTGCAACTATATAGCTAAGCAAGTTTGTGGGTCCAAATGG